AAAAAAACCCAAAGATAATCTCATATTTCATAGAATAATTTGCATTATTTAGCTTATCTAATCATTTCTAAGAAAAGAAATATAAATAATTATCTGAATAAAAAAAAAATAAATAGTTTTTCTGTTAAACTTCACGAAAAATATCGTAGAAACTATCGAAATAGCAACAGGACAAATGATATGATGTGTGAATAAGTATACATGTATATTTTTGTTTGTCGTCCACAAATTATAGGAGACGACAACGCCTACCATCCTCATTTATGAATATTCGACAGAGGACACTCTTTATATGTTTATAGAGATTTATTTTCAAATCAATATCATGTTTAATTCGAATATTTCAAAGATATTCAATTTAGTTTTTATGATTTATATGACTATTAGAGACAGAGTACGTTCGTATCCGGAATATTTCATTGATTGATAGTGACTTCTATTTTATTTTTTTACAAAAACAATTTTTTTTGTTAAAAAAATTAAATTTTATATAACTAATTTTAATCATTATAACATATTAACCGAATAATAATTTTTCAACAATCAATTTAAATGTTATGAACAAATTTTTTAAACAAGTTCATACGTTCGTCTAAATAATACAAAAATATTTCGAAAAAACGAAGATTAAATTCAATTGATTTTCGATTGACACTTTTTCTATGAGAAACAATTATAGTCAAATGAAGGTAACAGGTAATGATTTTTTTTTCTTAATTTATGCTGTTTAATTGTGACATTACCAGAGTATTGATAAATTGAATGAGATACGGCAAGGAGAAATGAAAATGAAAAAAAGTAAACGTAATATTAGTCAAGTCTTGTCAAAAATAATTTCAGAGAGTGGTTGACAAAATGAATCTTCATATCTAAGTCATACTAGACACGAAATTACTTCCTAAATTTTTACATATTACTAAAATCATGTATTTCCAAATGTACTCATACATATGTTCGATTTTGAAAGACTGATATTTATATAATAAATTAACACAAGGAAATTTCTCTAATTGGTTAAAACTGATATTATGGATAGAACGTCTTTTAAACGAAAATTTATATCACAGTTTTTAATTGTTTTTTCAAATTTTGCTCTTCCATAATTTGTATTCAAAACTAAGTCAAAGGACAACATGGACATATTAAATAGGATGAAACGATAGTTTTCAGTGGATCGAAACGAATTATTCGTATGGTAGGAAGGAAAATTTTACAACAGAACATCAATTCTTTCCGGTTCGCGCTGAATTATATTGCACAATGCAGAAATATACACCGTGTTAAAGTTCCCATGCAAGATTCGAGTTTATACTTTGACCTGAAATATATATATATAAATTTATTAAAATCTTGATTGAGTAATATGTGATAAATATCATATATGTTACTACAACTTAGAACTTGATTCTACTGAATGTTCACATAAATATCAGATTCATACAAGTATAATTCAAATACATGAGATGTATTATCCCAATTTATAAGGATTTGTATTTGTAAAACATTTTTGAAGATGTTTGTCTTTTATCTTAATCAGATGATTGATTTTTATTGCCATTTATAATCTATCGAATATGATGTTTGAGTGAGTCTTTTTCTTGCTTTGTCTAATAGCGCCATCTGTTGATCGAATTTAAATACTTACTCAACAATAAATTGTCAATCAATATTTATCTTAATGAAAATCATTATCGAAATCTCATAGTTAAATTAAAATAAATATAAATCATCAATAACCATCAATAGAGTGGATTTACTTTATTCCTAAATTCCATTAAAAACCTCTTCCATCGAAATTGTGTTGTTTATTTGGATTGACTTCTATTTATTAATTCATTTCGATGTTTTTATATTCTATTCTAACTATTATCATTTATTTTTAGATCGAACATAATTATATATTCAATCTCATATAAAACAGCATCATGAGTCATCGTAAATTCGAACATCCACGTCATGGTAATCTTGGATTCTTACCAAAAAAACGAGCAGCTCGTCATCGTGGTAAAGTGAAATCATTTCCAACAGATGATCCAAAAAAACCTGTTCATCTTACCGCTTTTCTCGGTTACAAAGCTGGTATATTCTTAAATATCTATGTCTTATTGAATCTAAATTCAATTTTTCCTTAGGTATGACTCATATCGTTCGTGAAGTCGATCGACCAGCTTCAAGTAAGTTTTATTTTTAAATAGAAAAACTTCATGTATCTTTTTTTTCTTCCTTTTTTGAAATTAGAATTAAATAAAAAAGAAACAGTTGAAGCTGTAACCATTATTGAAACACCACCTATGGTTATTGTTGGTGTTGTTGGTTATATAGTAACACCTCGTGGTCTTCGTGCATATAAAACAATCTATGCTCAACATTTGAATGAAGAATGTCGTCGTCGTTTTTATAAGAACTGGTATTCATCAAAACATAAGGCATTCACAAAATATTCAAAGAAATGGGAAGATGAAAGTGGCAAAAAAGCTCTTGAAAATGACTTCAAACAAATGGCTAAATACTGTAAAGTTATCCGTGTATTAGCTCATACACAAGTCAAATTATTACGTAAACGACAAAAGAAAGCACATCTTATGGAAATTCAATTAAATGGTGGTACAATTGAACAAAAAGTTGCTTTTGCTCGTGAACATTTAGAAAAACAAGTACCTATTAGTCAAGTATTTTCAAAAGATGAAATGATTGACTGCATTTCAGTAACTAAAGGTCGTGGTTTCAAGGGTGTTACATCACGTTGGCATACAAGAAAATTACCACGTAAGACACACAAAGGTTTACGAAAAGTAGCTTGTATTGGTGCATGGCATCCAGCTCATGTTTCACGAGCTGTTGCACGTGCTGGTCAAAAAGGTTACCATCATCGTACTGAAATTAATAAGAAAATCTACCGTATGGGTGATGCTATTCAAGTTAAAGATGGTAAAACAGTTAAAAATACTGGTTCAACCGATCATGATCCAACAGAAAAAACAATTAATCCAATGGTAAATTCTTATTTTTTTTTTCTTTATTATATATATTTTCTTTCTTGTTATCTGTTAGGGTGGTTTTCCACATTATGGTGAAGTACGACAAGATTTTATCATGATTAAAGGTTGTTGTATCGGTCCAAAGAAACGTCCAATTACATTACGTAAATCACTTATACTTAATCCAAAACGTTCACATCGTGAACAAATTGATTTACGTTTTATCGATACATCATCCAAATTTGGTCATGGTCGATTTCAAACTCATGAAGAAAAACGTGTATTTATGGGTCCACTCAAAAAACATCGTCTTCAGGAAGAACAACAACAAACACAAACAACAACAACAACAACAACAGCTACAACAGCACAAGCACAATCCGCTTAAATTTGTTGTTTTTCTTTTTCGTTTATTCTGCTGTTTATAAAACTTTTGTTTTGCACATCGATCAGACGAAAACAACAATAAAATATTTACGGCAGTAAAATAAAAACAAAATAAAAATGCCGATTTCAATATAGATACATTTACTTTAAATGTGATATATCTTCGAAATAAAAACAAATAAATTATTAGTAAATGATAATTCATAACTATCGTTATAATAAAAAAAAAAACTTATTTTTAATAATTTTTTAACATACATCCAGATGAGACAGATCTGCTAATTCATGAAAAGGATCTCCAAGGTAAGATATGGTAAAATACAGAACAATCAAATTATCGGCTTTTCAATACCTGCAAATTGATATAAAATTTGATTTTATTTATACAGAAAGAAATAGCAAACATTTTTTTTACAAAACAAGACGTCTACCGAAAAACGAAAGAGAGCGTTAAACTTGTTAACTAGATAATTCAAAAATGTTCTTGTAAAATATCAAGGCCCTTTTTCATAAGTAATATCACTCATGATCTTTTGAAAATAATATATAGAGTATAGTATCATAGTCCAAATATACAATATCATTCTAAATTTTTGAATACTTTTTTCTCCCCATGATTTTTACATAAATTAAACTAGAACTGTTATAGGAATGTCTTAATATACTATTTCAATCTATGCATTGTGCGTAGATTAATCAAATTACAATAAGAATATCTTAAACCATCGTAAGTACTTAATTTATTAAATATTCAAATGAGAATTATATCGGTTCATGTTTTATTCTTTTCTATATACTTATTATTATTGTATAAAAAATTCTTCTTTAAATATAGTCATAATTAGATTATATTTTTCTCCAAGATTTTATAATAAAAGTGTGTAGGTTTGAGCCAATAAGTATTTCTACTGATTTTTTTAGATCGTCGAAGAGAGAGAGAGAGGGTCAAAATGACCCCGACTCGTACTTTAAGGGTTAATAAACTAAAAGAATATGTTTGTACTGATAACCTCCTGTTAAGTACTTTCTCTCCTGACACAATATTTATTTCTATGAAATAGATATTAGACAGTACTAATAGTTATATTTATCATAGTTTGTAAAACGTTACTGATATTTAATAGTCTCGTTTATCTATAACTAGATTAATTATAATTTTGCCGATCTGTTGTCATCGGTAACTGTAACAATACGAAACATATGCCGTAGGGTTTTGCCTTCGAATGAATAACTTCTTGAGAAGTATTCAATGTGTCTACGGTTAATGATTAAATAAACGCCCTAAATTACAATCTAGTCCATTCATGGAACGATTTTACTCGATGATCTTTTTCAATCAACCTGTATGGTGTATATAAATATTTACATGAAACAGCTGTTCAATCGATATTATTGATATTTACGTATATTAATATTTTGGCCTTTTAGAAATTGACATCACAAAAAGAGAGAGAGAAGAAAAATAAAGACATTAGTCAGTAATCGTATAATATGCGTAGGTGGTATGAATGAATCAGAGGATGTCATTCTATTGATGATTGGTAGCATTTATGAATAATAATAATAATCAAATGGAATACTTATGTTTTAACTTTTTACTTTATCTGTACAAATGTACAAGCTTCATGAAAAACGAACAATCATCAAACGTATACAAACAGACACTCACTGATCTCATATGAGTGAAAAACAGATTCAAACAATCAAACCAACAAACAGAAGCAACAGAAGAAGATATGCATAGCTTTTTTTTCTTTGTCGTCGCGCCACAAAAACAAACAACGCAAATAAAATGCAAAAAGAAAACAAACAGAGAAAAAAAACAGACCGGTGTAAACAAATGAAACAAAATGCTAAAAACGATATTATATGTGATGTGTTGAATCGTACTATTTTCAAAAGAAAGGTCTAGAAAAAAACAACAACAACAACAACAACAACAACAATAAATTGTTTCGACGAACACACATACATACATACAGAGATAGGACAAAAAAATGTATATCACTGTCTTTTTGAAATACTTGAGCTGAAGACAAAGAAAAAATGTGCACATACACACACACACACACAGAGGGAAAGAAAAAAATGAGCATTTTTTGGTCTTGTTTCTTGAATACACACGACACACACAAAAGAAAAATATATATATATATGTATATATTATTTACAGACACAAGAAAAGTACAAACCGGGATTTAAAACGAGAAAGAGAGACAGAGAGAGAAAAAGGAAAGAGAAAGAAGATATCGTTAGTGCGGTGAATAACGTAAAGTATGTTGTATTAAATGTTCCTGTAATAAGTGAGTTACTGTTGATGGTGGTGATGATTCATTTGATATTTGTTCATGATGATGAACTTCTGGACTTGTTATAGGTGGCAAATCTATATAAAAATCAATATAATTACATACAATATATATATATTTATGATTCATACCTGATCTTTGAATAATCGTATCATCACTTTCATTATACGTTATTTTTCTTTTTTTTGGTGGTTTTTGATGTAAATCACTATCATGAGTCATTGTTATTTTTGGTTTTTGTTGTTCATATGTATTTATTGTTTGTTGATATATTGTATTTGTTGATGATGGTGATGATGGATTTTTATTATTTGTTTGTTGTTGAAATTTTTCATTAATCATTGCTTTTATTTGTGCTGGTAAATCTTCTTGTTGATGTGTTGATGATGACGATTGTTGAGTTTGATTCATATTTGCTAATGCATCATCACCTTCTAGATGACGAATAGCTTCAACAATTGTCTGTAAATTTCGACGTGAAACAGTATTATTTGTATCAACACTCTGTGTACGAAACTGACATCGTTCGACAATAACAATTCCATTATCACTATTTTGATCAAGTGAATTCGTTTTATAACAACGTTGACTAGGTTGACTTTGTTGAACAATCATATATGTTGTATCTGATGTTGTTGCTGGAGTAGATTGTTTAACCGTTCGATAATATTTATCAATATGCTAAGAATACGGGGAAAAAAACAAAATCAATATACTTTTTTTTCCCTAATTTAAACTTACAGGTGAGGGTTGTTCATCTTTTGGTGATTGAACATATTCTGCATGCCAATATGTATGATGATTTTTAACATCATCATAAACATTATTTACTACTGGTTTGCTTTCATCATTATTTGCAAGTAATAGAACAGTTTCATCGGAATCTGTAAAAGATATTTATCAATGTCATAATCGATATAAAGGTTAATGGATAACTAACTGTCAACAATAAAAAACAACAACAACAACATCAACATCAAATGCTGATTTTTTTTTCTCGTCTAACCGCAGAAAAAATAAAGTACTTACCATTCGTAGATAAACGTCGTTGTGCTTGTAAAACACTTGAAGAATCAATTTGAAAACTTTTTATTAATATACGAAATTGTTCATTTTGAGATTGTAATTTAATTTTTTCATTTTCAAGACTTTTAATATGATCAGCAGCTCGTTGAAGAATACATGCCTTAGAAAAACAAAAATATTCATATATATAAATTTCTTTTCTTAGAAAAAATATTTTTTATAATACACATACTTTACTAAGTTTTTCACCACAGGAATGAGGAATGAGAATTTTTAAACTTTGAAAACCAGTATTAATCGATTGCATACGACGGCGTTCATTGCAATTAGCAATTTCACGTCGTACACGTTTTTCATGATCTAATTGGGAATTTGGTGCCATATCCGAACTAAATAGAACAAGTAGATTTTATATTCAAATAAGATAAGATATGTGAGTGCAATGTGATCTTCTTCGTCTTTATTTTCTACATTATTCATCAGTCACTCTGACAGCCTGTCGATCCATCTGTCTATCTGCACATAATATAAATTGAAGAAGTGATGACATGCAAGTGGATCTGTTTTTTTCTCTCTATGCATATACATATATATATATATATATTCGTTGCTCTGCTGAACTATAGTCAACATATGTATTGAAACGAAGAACAGAACAAATACTATAGATGAGCGTATATACGCGTGCACGCGCTCATACATTCGTATATCGTATTCTTATTCAGTTCATAGTGAACGAGAGGAAATTCTTTCTTGGCTGTCAGCCAAATACCATTCATTCTACGCATACGTACGCGCACACATGCGGAAAGGAAGAACGTTCTCGTTTTTCTTTCTTTTTTTTCTCTTCTTCTTCTTCTTCATCTTATTGAACATACCTAACGTGACTAGGAGTAGGTGAATTATTCGATGGTAATTTATGTTGTAATGGTGATTCAGGCATTAAATGTAGATAATGATGTTGTGATGATACTTGATCAAATGTATTGTCATCCGCATAGCAATAGGACATTCACGATACGTATACGTTTGTACTATATATCTTTCCTATAGTATAGAAAAGAAAAAGAAAATTGTCACACATACACATGACCAAATAGACGAAGAACAAGAGTAAAAGAAGAAGAAGAAAAAAAGAGAAAATAAATATAATAGTGATAGTAATAGTAGCAAAGAGAAGGAAAATTCATTGAATACATACGTTTTTTTTGAAAAATATCGAATTTTGTATATCTATTTGAAGAATTAGCTGTAGTAAAAATACGTTTACAACTTAGAATAGAGACGCGAATCAACCCGATGATGTCGACGAGTGTGTGTGTGTCTGTGTGCAGGGTAATAATAGAAACCAGAAAAGAGAGCGCGCGAGAAGAATAGAGAGAAAAAGAAAGGAATGCAAACGAACGACGACCAAGAGGAAAAAGCACAAACAGAGAAAAAAAATGGGTGTCTTATTTTTCATTAACGGCGAATCAGCTGCACGACACAACACACATAGGAAGAACGAAGAAACAGCTGCTCTCTCTCTCTATCCATCCATCGCATTTGTATGTATGTTAGTTTGTGAGGTGGCGAGTGAGCCAACCAATAGAAAAAATCATTCATTAGAAGAAGAAGAAGAGAACAATAGTTCTTCTTTTCCTCTATTGAAATCACATGATGCTCGACAACACATACACGCGCACTTGGCTAAGTGCCAATAACATTTGTTGGATTGGTTACTGCTCGTAAATGCATCCTATATATTCTTTTCTTGTCGACAACGCGAATAAAACTAAAAAAAAAAGAGGAAAAGAAAGAAATACATTTTTTTCTTTCTCTATTACTGTGCTTCTGTGAATAGAAGACATATGAGCGAGAAAAAGAATGAAAATTAACCGGGGTAGTAACAACAGAAAGCTGATAGTGACGATGTCTTGTCGTTCGAATGTGTTGTTATCGTATAAGAGTATGCACCGAAACATATGAAAGTCAAGTAAAAGAAGAATAAGCAAAAAACGAGTAACTCGATTACTACTATGTATCATGAAAAAATCAAATAGAAAGAATTATTTGGACTTTTGTCAAACTGATATTTTGCCAACAAATATTACGAATGAAAGAACAAATAGTGTAAAGAAAAGAAGAAGAAAATTTTCTATAATGATAAAAAAAAGAAAGATATATTTGGCACAACTGACACACGAAGATATAATTGTCCTGGCAATGAGCCAAACCAAAGTAAATCAAGAGAAAACAAACGACATTATAAATGTGTCCTACTTTGTCGGTTTTTTTTACTCGACAATATAATTAACATGATACGTGGTTAACTATGTGTATGAATCAAACATTACAAATACATATTTCATGTCACCGAAAAAAATCGAATCGATAAATCAAACTTCTATAGACGTACATATCAATATCCATATCCTAAGACGAATGCTTAGTCAATAAATAGGATAATCTTTACCTATTGTTTCTTTGAAAAAAAAAGAAAGAATTTCATATGATTGATCGAGTGTAATTTTAGCATACAATAAATGAAAGACATGATCATACGATATTAAAAAATTTAAAGAATGTGAAATTCCAGAGAAAGTTTTCTTTTTTTTGGCTTGATCGTTAATACAAGCAAAACGAATAGTTTTATTAAAGAGAAAGAAGAAAAAAAATTTTCGTTTTTTTCATTGTAATGATATAATCTGTTATGATATTATATGAATAGATAAAGTTCGAAGAATCTCTTTTTTTGATATAAAACATAACTAAAGATATATATGTATTCGAAAATGAATATCGATATAAATTTGTCGCGAGTTTGTTTATTTGTTTTTTTATTCACGTTTATTGTATTATAGTTGATAAAAATAGTAGTCACTCATTCATTTACTCACGCGAGGAGTCAATTTCGTCGTTCTGTTATTTTTTCATGCTATCCATGTGAGAGAAAATTCGGTTATTTATATACATATAAAAAAATAAGAACGTCATAATGTCCTGGTGGTACATACATAAACAATATTATATAGATTCTCGTTAAATAGACTAAAACGTTATCAGTGAATATTATATAGACAGCTTACTGCGTTATATGAAATTTTCGCCGATTTTATTCGATACGAGTAAAAAACAAGTGTATGATTAGTTTTGTTTTGATATAAATATTATCAAATATTAAAAGTACTTCGTTTTTTCTCCACATAAGGAATACTATTGTCTTAAAAAACATAAAACTGTCAACAAAAAAGACAATTCTCAAGAACTGTATGACTTTCTTGGAAAAGATACTCGATATTTCATAGAACAAAAAAAAATGTTTTTATACTGATATGAAATTATCGAAAATAATATCTATAAAGTTTTTAAGAACTTTAAATGCTCATTTTTTTCTTCTTTTAGTAACATGCATGATATTGTAAAACTATTGATTTTATTATTCGTACTTGCTCATTCTCACATGATGTATGAATATATTATTTTGCATATATCGACGATTTTATCATTGTGCCAATAAATTATTCGCATGTTAGACTATGAAGTTCACGTTTCATTAACTGCGTCGATATTTCGAATGTTTCTTTTTTATTGCGTACTACTGCCATTGATTGTATTTGAAACGTATACCCTTTCGTATGAACTGTATGAACTAATAAGTAAATAGATTATGGCATCATACTTGAAATGTAAGTATCAGTGAAATCTATAATTTAGAATGTGTACTCATTAGTATATTATTAAATAATATTTTCGACTTTTTCTGTTTCAAAACTATCATACGAGAAAAAATGTCTAAGCTCTAGAACTTGAAGATCATGTTTTTTTATTAATATTATTGAAAAAAATAAGTTGTTCGTATATTTTTGTGTTTCATCATGACCGGCAAATATTACAAATAAATATGAAAATATTTATATATATATCAAAATTCAGAGTCAGCAAGTGATTCTCTTGGTGCCTCTGGCCAATGTGGAGGTGGTGGTGATTGTATTCGACCTAGTTCAATAGTTGTATGTGGATCGGCAACTGTATTTTTTGCATAAACTCTAATATTAGTATAAATATAAATTAGAATATAAACTAAACACGTAGCGATCATAGCAGCTGCACAACCAATTTGTATTTTAATTAAAGTAAACTTAATCCAATGCATATTTTGACTAGCATTAATAGTAATATTAAAAAATTTCAGATTTGTCAATCCTTCATTACATAAGTTTTTTGGCCATAAACATGTATAAGGATTACGAAGAAATGAAATATCATAATATAGAAGAACACTTGATGCAGCAATTGAAATAATATGTAAAATTAATACATATGTTGCACATCTGGATGAATTTCGACAACAACAACCTAATTAATAGTAGAAAACAATAGATTGATATGTTAATTATTTTCAATACTTACCAAGTGGAAATGTCGATATCCAAGTTATAATAGAAATAAATGATGCTATAAAACCAAGAAAAAAGAATGAATATCTTATATTAGTAATCATACTCCAAAATTCAAGACAAAGAATAACACCGGTTAATAATAATTCAATAATAGCAATTAGATTTATTAATGATGCTGGCCAAAAACGTTCCCATCGTAGACGTCGATGACCTTTTAGATTTGTTTGAAAAAAATGCATCTTTATTAGAGAAAGAAATTTCAGATATGTCTGTTTTTATATTATATTCTACGCTGTAAATCAAATGATAGTAAATATGTGTTTTTTATTCTCTAGAGAATAGTATTGACATTAATTTGAATAATTATGATATATATATATACCAACACATTAGAACAACAGCAACACGTATAAAGAGATTGTAAAATGTGGGCGAATATATATATTTTTTTTTGTATTTTCGTTATCATAATGATTAGAGATACTTCAGATGAATCATTCTCTATTGATGACAAAAAAAGTAATATGAAAGTTTATATGTATATTGTTACATGTTGTAAACTTGCTAATAGATATTTTATTTTTTATTGAAAAGAAATTTATTTGTGAATAATCGAAATTCAATGAACTTCATTATATATAATTCATTGTGAAATCTTTAATGCCAGTCATATAGAGTCATACAAAAATGACTGCTGCTAATCACTTCAGAGATTGTCGATGAAAACATGATTTTTTCACGAGCTTAGATTTGAATTCTAAAGCTGCGAAAGAAAGAAGAGATTTAATGGAACTTATGATATGTAGAACACTTCCAGTTATATATCTTTCCAGAAGAAAAACTCTTTTGAAAAGCATAGTAGCGTAACCAGAACATTGTGGGTGCCCGGGTTATACTGTCCTACATCGAGATTTTTCGGAATTGAGCGTTTTTAAAATAGAATATTGAGCTTGGCTTTTGGAGATGTTCAACGAATAGAGAATGAAATTCCCTATCAGGCCGTTGTATTCCTGGTTCTCACTCATTGTGTAGCGCTGAAGAACTATCAACAGTCTCGAAAAAAGGGATTTATCTAATCCCGTTGATATTTCCTCTTCGTTGCACAATGAGTGAGACCCAAGTATACTCAATCCCGAAAAAAAGTTCGATGCAGGGCCCTACCAGGCTAGTTTATCCCTGTTTACGCCACTAGAAAAGTACTACAATCAAGTGTCTATATTCAACGATTACGCATACAGTAATCATATATTATTTTCATAGGAATATTAAAAGCCATATCTTACGATTGATCTTTGAAACATGCTTGTTATATAGTGACATCTATCGAATATATAATATGATTTGTGATAAGAGAAGACTACTGCACATAAAAAGTAAAGATGGAAACCAATGAAAATAATTGTATCTTGCATCAGTCTTATGTTCGAATCCAATTCCAAGCATTTTTTCAAACATTTAAAATAATGAATTGGAATCATCTTCGAGATATTCTTATTGATGAATTATCTGTTGAAGGTCTTGATGGTTGTACATTCAATCATTTATATTCTATTGTTAAACCTTTAATTCTTTCAATTGATAATCAATTACCAACTGACATTTATCTTCGTTCTTACATATGGAAAATACTTTTATCATGTTCATGTATTGAACTATATGAATTACCAATAAAACTTCTTCCTCCATCATCACCAAATGATCTTGCAATTGATAATACAGAATTGAATCATCGTGGTTATTCATCATCATATTATCAACGTAAATTATTATCAAATAAATCCGACTATAAAATTCTTGAAAATATTCCATCAATTGATCGTATACATCTTGTTGTTGAACAAAATGTTCGTGAATTTCGTATAATACAAGGTCAATATGATACGAAACAATTATTTAGTAAATATGAATATGCATTACTTGAATGTATATGTAAAACACGTTCAAAAGGTATATCAACATCTGGTAATGATGGTTTAGCAAAAATTTTTAATATTAATAGTAAATCATTATTTTATTATCTTAAACAATTAATATCATTGGATATAATAAAAAAATTAAATTTAACACGACAAATAACTGGTACATTAAAACAACCAATATTAATTTTAACACGATATATAACAAAGAATGATTATTTAAATTCGAAATATACAATTATTGATCGTTTAAAAACCTATTTAGAACAATGTAAAAATTTCTCATGTGAACGTAATCATTTGAAAACATATTTATCATTAGGTGAAAAATCATTCCGGTCATTAATGAGAAAATGTAAACGTTTAAATTTAATTGAAAAATATAATAAAACAATGAATGAATATGAATTAAAAAAATTTTTAAATAATGAACAAGATTCAAATGAACCGACAACACCAACATCATTAACTTATTTAAATAATAATCGAACACGTTTACGTTCGTATACATTTTTTCGTTTAAAATCAATAAATAATATTACAAAAGATGATGATGAAGAAATTGCATCATCAAGTGATGATAATGAACAATCCGATGATGATGATGTTGTGGAAGAAATTGAAGATGAAGTTGTAGCTGATGGTGATGATGCTGATGATGATTCAAATATGTTACCATTATCGGAAGCATCTAGTCAATTAGATCAAAATAATTTAAGATTATTTGTTGATCGACCATATCATTTTCAATATTATCAATTATTAGAACAAGTTAAAGAGATTGGTTTATCACAACGTGATCTAGCTAATATATGTCATTTATCGTTTTATTCAGCAAGATCAGAAATAAAATCTTTAACAAAAAATATGAAACATATTTCATTAAAAAGTGTTCAACTTAATCAAAAAGGAAAAATTATGGAAAATAGAGTAAGAATATATCATTATTTTTTCTAATAAAATTTTCTTTTTTGTGAATTTAAAGATTTTATTAAAAAAATTTATGCCGACAACAACAGCAAAATCATCAACAATAAATGCTAATAATATTCGACAACAGATTATTTCTAAAACACCACGTAGTAAACGAAAAAAAACAAATAATAAACAAAAAGACGTTATTGAAACAACATTAGGTAATTTGAAAAAACAGATTTTTGATAACATTAAATGAAGAATAATCTATATAAGTGATTATTACCAGCTATGTCATCTTGTGATATTTTCCTAATTGCAAAACTTTGAGATTAGTGATAAGGAAAAATAAATGATAAGAATAAACTATCTCTTGTAAGGTACAATACTTGGAATAGTCAGGAATGGTGTCTGGCGGGACCGTTTTTTTCATTCCGATCCCGACCGTTTTCCACTGACCAGAAATCCGTCTCGATCCCGGTCTCAGCAAAATATTTTTTCAGGATTTTCGATGCCGTTACCATTTTCAGTGAATACAACTCATCCCGACTTAAAACCCATTAATATATTAACTCGGATTCCGCTGCCGACGGGATAGGGATCGGGACAGTCTCGCCGGACCGTAGTGAGGAGCATCAACCAAATATAAAAATAATTTGTTCTTAACCACAGATATTAAGAATCAGTCAATGTATCTTTTATTTCTATTGTCAAGAGAACCATTCTATTGATTCTTGTTTAATGACTGTTACTATTATCATCATATAGTTGTTAACATATAGTAGTGTGTTATCCGGGATTTTATCTCCGAGATGGTATACGAAGTCTTCAGAGGTGCAAAATGTCTCGGGAATCGGAACGATGAGCACGAGGATACATGAGCACGCAAGCATCTGAATGTGGGTGAAGACGCTGGTCCAGAAAAGATAACATTGATAGATTCCTTTACCCATGTCGATTCATATTTGCCTTGACTATTTTCGTCGGTACTATGGACCTAAATACTTGTGTGCTCACCGTTCGCTTACCCAAATGTCTCATGCCTCTCCCTCCGCTAGATAAAACACTCATTTTGTAGATCTCAATACGTACTAAGCAATCAAATATCTATTTTAACAATCTTCTCACTTTTAGTTGAAAGTCCATTATCAGTACCAGCTGCTTCATCAAATTCTCCATCGTTAATTAAATGTGAACCAATCGATGCTGAACATCTTGATAATGAACCATTATTATCTCGTCTTCTTTCATCTGAAACTTTATGGCGTCCATCAACTCAAAATGTTACACAAGAACCTCCAAAAAAGAAATCTAAAACACGTGTTAATCCAGTTAAACGAATAAATATTAAACGTGAACATCGTCTTGATTTAATTCGTTCCTATATGAATGAACATCCTATATGTACATTAACTGATTTACGTGCTGCTATTATGTCAAGTGAACGTGATGAAGGTTTAACAATACATATGGATCGTAAAACATTGGATAAATTAGTTGATGAACTTGAAAAAATTCATCATTTTTTATTTCGTTTTACAGCTCGAATAAAACAATCACGAACAATTATTTGTTTAGCAATGACAACTAATGATATAACACCTGATTGTGAAAAAATTCAACAATTTAAAATTGAATTATCACAAGATACAATTGAAGTTCCATCAACAAATAAATCTAAACAAATTTCACGTGAAAGATTATCAAATGCAACAATAAATAACACTAATAATAATAATCAACAACAGGAACAAATTCTTGATGATGAAAAAATTTTGAATGATGATGATGCAAAAATAACAATTGATAATTTATTTAATAATGGTTTAGAAGAAGAAAAAATAGCTTTATTAAAAAAGAAACCATTAGAAAATGTAACTGGTTTTGGAAATTGTTATGGTTATGTTTATAAATTTCAACGATGTGCTATTTTACATAAATTTCTTTTTTATCTACTTTATGGTTATGAAGGAAACACAGAGAATGAAGATATTGAGGTATGATTTATCGATCTAAAAAGAAATCATTTATTAGTTTTTTAAAAATACTGAGAAATACATGATTTAGTATTATATACGAAATTATGTATGACAGAGAAATATGCTCGTATATGCACTTAATTTGAGATTTTATAATAGTCGAGGGAATATTTCGGTAGTAGTACTATTATTATGTTGATTAATAAATGGGAGTTTTACTGGAATCTATCATTAAGCTTTAGAACGCGTTTAGAGTGTTCTTTCAAAACTACCAAAGATATAGAGTAGGCGCATAACTAGATGGAAGCTAAGTCCTGCGGTGGATCTAGGATTTTAGAAAGGAAGGCCGATACCTGAATAGGGAAGGGGTGGTAACAGAGTAGGGGGAGGGCGATTTCGGCTAAAAAATATTTTTTGGATCCAATCGAAGTAATGTGAACCTATTTTGCCGTTCATTTTCGCTGTAAAAAAATCAAAAAAAATTCTAAAGGATGAAGGGGCAACCGGCTCCATCGCTCCCCTAAGTCCGTCACTGACTGAGTCCTGGTTTATCTCTGCTTAAAAATTGCCCACCGGCTCCTATAACTTTTTTCTGATTATGCCCCTAATATAAACGTTGATTAATTCTATGTTTAATTAAATTGAAAAATTTGTTGACTAACTTTATTGTTATTTATATTTTAGTCAAGTTTTGATTGTGAACAGTCACTTCTATCGAATGATCCTGAAGTTCAATCAATACTTGATTCTATACCTAATACTCGTCGTTATTTAAGTTCGAATCAAGTTGCAAATTGGAAAACATTTGTTCCACCATTAGATACTCGTGGTCGTTCAATTCCATCAGGTTGTCTTTATCTTGATGATTTTCTCATGTGTATGCCAGTATCAATTTTTCTTGCTATTGTTTATGTTCCATATAAAGTACCTGGTCTTATGGAATTACTTTCACATCCAACAAAACGCTATATACTTGTACGAGATCTTCCAGCTGAAATGCGTTATCCACTTATTGTTCGTCGACAATATTTATATCGTATTATAGAAGTATTAAAATATTTATCAACACTTGGTTTAATTACATTTGTTGATCGACCAACAATTAGCCGTTTAGAAAAATTAAATACATTAATTTATCTTCATCCAAAAACATATCTTATTAATACAATAAATCAAACAAATAATTCTAATGGACCCATTGAAAATATGTTAAATTATCCAAAACAAATGTATAATTTAATATCATTAACAAATGTTAATCGTTTTTGGTTTGATTTAATTGAAATAGCATTAAATACTTATCGTGTTAAAATTTTTTCACGTAAACAAGAACGTTCACATATTACTGATGTACTTAAACAAGCAACAAAACCAATAATACATGAAAATATAGATGAAATTAAAACTCCACTTGGAAAATCGAATGGTCCAGCAGGTTTTGATTATGATTTATATTTATTTTTACGTAAATCATGGAAACTTCCATATAATAATAAACGTGTACTTAAATTACTTAATCGTGAAGCAAATCATTGTTGTATACCGGTTTGTGAATTACGTGTTCCAATTGATGTTGCACTTAAACGTTCATATACACGACATTTAGCACAAAAACGTAAAAATATTAATCGTAAACGTAATATGAATATATTAACAACAGATTTTGATAATTCATCATTAACAACAATAATAACAACAACATCATCTTCATTACATCGAATAAAACGAAATGCTAATATTCTTATAAAACCATTGATTGGTGTTGAATATTATGGTCATTTATCAAGATATATTATTCCATGTGAATTATTAAATCAATTACAATTTATTGATAGACGTAAAAAAATACTTTTTCAATATATTCGAGATAAAAATAAAAATATTTTAAATCGTTTTAATGAAATATTACATGATACATCAATGGATAAAACAAAACCTCGAAAAAGAAAAAAAGAAAAATTAAATGATGAACAAGAATCAGATGATGAAGGTAATTTTTGATTAAGAATGATATTCAGTAGAATAATAATTCAAATGAATGCATTCTTCTATATAGAGTATATCTAAAAACTAAAATACTTCTATTTTTTTTCTTTAGAACCAACTAATTCAACTGCTCTTCGTGTACGTTGGTCACCAGTTGAAGAACGTGTTATATCATTAATAAATGCTGCTCTTGCTTTTTATTTACCTCGTAAACAAACTGATAATACAGATATCTCCAAAGATTCAACTACAATTGGAAGTCGTCGTCCCGCTGCATTTCTTCCATTTAGTAAAGAATTATTTCGTGCATGTCTTATTCGTATTCTTCCACGTTCTGCTCGTTCAAAAACTCCACAAAATGTTGTAAGAAAACTTAAAAATGATATGACACAACAAACACGTTTAACACAATTAGAACATTTATCTGTTCTTTGTTCAACTGATACATATTTATTAACATTTCGTAATGAAGCTAAACGTTATCTTAAACAACGATATCGTTCAAATGAACATTTTTTTCTTTTACTTTTCGAAAGAGTATATATAAAATTTCAAAATTTTATACGTACTGGTTATTTACATTGTATACCTCAAGGTACAATTGAATATTTACCATATTCAAAAGATGAACTTTTAAAACAATACAAAATTATTGGTAAACCAACAACAGAATTTTATTCATTTAATCAACCTGAGTAAGTTAATTATTCATGACAATTTCATTTTTTCATTTATTTGTTTTTTCCATAGATCAACTAAATCAATATTAAGTTCAACAATAAATATGGCAGCACATAGTTCTCTATTATCAAATGAACGTTCAGGTACAACAAAAGCATTCATTTTACATTACATATTTTCTCAATATCCTGAATCATTACTTAATGAAATTGTTTATCGATTAATGCATACAGATGCTGTTATAACATTAACAAAATCGAATGATATTCAACGAAAAATTACTAGTGAAGCATCAACATTTTTAGCTGGTCGAGCTTATCATATTAATCAACGATATATTTATCGTTGGTATACATATATGCCAGCAACTGTTCTTCATGAAACATATTCATGGATAAATGATAATATTTTATCAAAAATCGATCCAAATAATATTCAAGATGAAATGATAATTTCAATTGATATTGAACAACAAAATAATGTTGCAATCGCATCATCATTTATAACATTTTTTGATTCTAATCATTTTAATATTCAATTAGCATTACCAAAAAGTCTTGATAATGAACCAGAAATGCTTATGTCAAAAATAAATAAAAATCAAAATAAATCAAATACAGATGAAGATGATGACGATGATGACGACGACGATGATGATGATAATGATGATGAACAACATGAAAGAGTTTTTCAACAAGTTCTTCAAAGTGCTAGAAGAATTGATCAAACACGTTACGAAAATATTAATAAAAGAAAACTTTCAACAGATGACGATAAAACATCGAAAAAATCAAAAGTAAGATTTCTGCATATTAAGATCTTGAAAAATGTGTACGAAGTGAGAGTGAGATTGAAAGGTAGGGCCTGGTGGAACTGTCCCAATCTCTATTCCGTCGGGAGTGGAATCCCGAGTAAATATTTTAATGAGTTTTAAGTCTAGATGAATTGTATTCACAGAAAATGGTAACGGCATCGAAAAAATATTTTGTCGGGGTCGAGATCGTGACGATCGGGATCGGGATGAAAAAATCCGGACCCTATCGAAAGGGTTCGTCTTGTTTCCAAACGCCTATTCGCATCTTTCGTATATTGGAGAATGTTTAGATTTTTGTCTCTCATTATTATCGAAGTATAAGAAATAATTTAATTTTAGGTTACAACCAATGATGATAATGTTTCTATATCTCATACGAAATCATCTACACCTATTCGACATCAATGTCATGAATGTTCGAAATCCTTTTTAAATCGAACAAGTCTTGTTCGCCATTGTCATCGTCAACATGAACAACATGGTCGAATTAAATCTACGAAATCGACATTACGTCCTGGAACATCAACACAAAATCCTCTTGGACGTGGTCGTCATGCAACTGATACTTCTTCACTTAGTTGTTGTTCAATTAAATTTGCACTTTCAAATGAATTTCTTCGTGAACAATTTCAACATTTTTATATACAAAAATCTTTACATACAATCGATAAATTAATTCAACGTTTTTCATTCTATTCAGCTGTTTATGAACAAGAACAACAAATTGAATCAACAGAAAATAATTTATTATATAATTCAATTCTTAATTCCCATGAATATGGTTTAACATTTTATCAATTATATAAACAAATTAAATCAACAATGACATTTAGTAAATGTGTTGAACAATTAAATGATTATTTAATTCGTGGAATTATTATTGCTGCTGGAAGTCGAACACGTATATATGTACATCGAAAATATGCACGTTCATGGCTTATTTATTCGATTCGTTTTCGACAACATGATAATAATAATAATCTTGAAACATTATTAACCAGTGCTTTTGTTGACTCAACACCATCAACAACAACAACAGACGTTCAAACTACTCTCGATGATAAACAAATAAAACGTTTAAATTTTTCTAGTACTGATAGTCAATTGATTTCGGATCAATTTGAAGTAAGTACAAAGAACTATTGAGTGAATAGTATAGTGTACGATTACCTAGAGAGAGGGATAGATTCATTATTTTGATAATCGGAGGAATGAATTTCGAGAGCAGATCTTACTTATTATTTTTTTAGCGTATTGTTTTTGTTCCTCGTCCTTGGAAATCAACAGATGGTTCAATAAATTTTACTGTTTTACAACGTATGATGGAATCATTACTTTTATTTATAATTGATCATCCAGGTGTAAATCTTGAATATTTATATGAACATTATAAATGTGTACTACAACCAGTTGCTATTGATGATTGTATTGAATTATTTCAACAAATGAATTGTTTAGAAACAGCTCGAGTATCATTAAAAAGAACAGTAGAAAAACAAATTAATCTTTATTCAAATGAAAATTTTGATGATGATGAAGATGAAGAAGAAGAACAACAGCAACAACAAGAAATTCAATATAATAATGATAATGATCTCGAACGTATTTTATATAAAACAAATTATGATCATCAACAAGCAACACTTTATTGTTTTCCAACTTATGATTGTTTAGCTAAATTTGGTGTATCATTTCCATCATCATTAACAAATCAACAGCGAGGAATTGATCGAATGCCTTTTCCTAGTTATTAATAAAAAAACCTGTGATTTCTTTTCTTGATCGAAAAACAAATGAATTTTTTTGCTTCTGTTTTTCACCGTATGTACGTTCTAGTACTTCGTTATCTTGAGGTTTATTTGTATTATTATTACACTTATTATAATAACAAATAAATAAGAAGTCAACTCATATCAATTTATTTATAATATATTCAATTGTTAACAGTTAAGTTTATCTTAAGATGGCACTTGTTTGTAAAAAAATAATCATCATCGTTGTTTTCAACTATCTAAAAGCATAATATATTTGAAGAGTCTTGTATCAGTTTTGTTATTCTAAGTTGTATATTGACTTTATTTGATTACATCTCTTTATAGTAATATATATATATATACAAGTTTCTATTAAGATGATTCTTGACTACGAAATAAGGAAAACTTTATATAATAAAAGACGAAATTCAATAGATGAATCTTATATAGACTCTGTCGTACTTGGATTAGTCTTATAAATTTATAAGAAATGATGGTATCTCTATAAACATGAATAATCTTTCTGCACATGTTATATGCATGTAACAGTATAATAATTAAAAAAAATCTTGAAAATTTTCTTTCATTATATAATACTATTCATAGCTTACCGTCATAACCACACATTCTTTAATGAGCAATGAACACTGTTTTACTCATTCTTCGTAAATGAACTAAAGAATTGTTTTATAAACTAGCACGTTTTCCTATGTAAGTGAACGTAAGTAGTATACTTAAAATCAAGTTGTTAGAGTTTATTTTGTGAAATACTTCTTGAACTGTAGTCTATCGTGAGATTTTATATGATTGTATTGGAAAATGATATACTCAATCCGTATCTATTGATTTCAAATATATGAAATTTCCTTGGGGTAGTACTTCTTGGATTTTATTGGATTATATAATATATTTTTCGAAGTTTAAGACATCGCGTTGATCTGTACTATATAATCTCATAATTAAATAGCATGATATTATTGACATGTACTATATAAATAATTTAACCTTTGAAATTCCTTTTATTCATACATGAATACTTGTAATATCTATTTAAAACATTTCGTAATTATAAATGACTGATTTGATCCTTTTTATATTATATAGAATATAATACATGAATTTACATATATCATAATATTCTATTTTAAAACTTGAGGTATGAATAACTCAAGATTCGTGACACATATTATTATTTTCTATATTTCAATTACTTCATTTATAATCAATAATTTTGCTAGAGAAAATCTTTCTGTGTCCAAAAATATCTATGAATAAATAGTTTATTTTATATCAGATACAACCAGTAATACTCAAACTTACTAAAAATACATTTATTATTGTCATGTTTTATTTTATCATAGCATTAGACATTTTATTAACATCTGGTATAGCTATAGAAACAAGAATCCCAACAGTGAACATTTTTTCTTCTTCTATCTAAATCTGTGATTAGTTAAAAAGCTGATAACGAGAACAAATTATGACAGAGGAAAAAAAACACACGAGTATAGTTAATTCCTACTTCGTTGATTTTTCTTTTTCAGTAAAAATATTCAAAAAAAATATATACCTGATGTTGATTAAAAATAAAATCTCATTAATGACGTAAGCAGTATCTCTGTTTTATTTCATTCAACTAATTAATTCTATTTTTAAGTACAAAGTTACTTTACAGACAACGATTACTATTCTTAATCTAAGTATAACATCGCATACATATCAATTAGAAATAGTTGATAATGATATTTGAATAATCCAATAGAATTTCAAAGAAAATATTATTACTATTTTGCTTATTTAGATTTAATTATCATATTCAAAATATGCTCATGCAATTATTGATAGACCTAAAGATGTAAACATAGTAATGTCAATTAATAAAAAAACTGGCATTACAATTCCTTGTACCATTAATGCCAATCTTGTAACAGTTGAAGCCTAATGAAAAAATATTAACACGACTTTATTTCTTTTCATTTGCGCGTTTTTTTTTCTTCTTATTTTCTTCACATCATCATATTTTCTCTTTTCTTGCGTTTGACACACTCGAATTAGAATCGTCGTTAGTTCTTCTTTTTTCTTTTTTGCTTCTTCTCTATACTTTGCTTTGCTTCGGAGAATGAGAAAAAGAAAAAAAAATAGAAAATGAGCATTGTATTGAAGCAAGTAAAGAAAAAAAAAACTTTTTTTTGTCTCTCTAAAAGAATCTTGATGTTGCTTTTAGTCTGAGAAGGAATTGATAAACACGTTCATCAGGATCAGTAAAATCATAACTACTTGATATTTTTAGAATAGGATTCAAGGTAAGACATATTTTATGGATATTCAGGAAAGTGTTGCCTATCACTTAACTTGACAGATCAACAAACGATGACTGAAAGAAACAAATGGCAACGGAAATCATCAGACAGGAAATAGATGGGTGGGTAGCTAGAAATCGAGAAAACAAAAAAGTTTATAAGTGATAAATAAAGATTTTCTTTTATAGGCTATAAGGATAAATTCTATTCTGGTTTAAGGATTAATTAAATGACTTTTTTTTCTCTTTTCAATACTTATCGAATTAATAATATAAAAATAAACGAAAAGGTATGTTAATAAAAATTAAATTTATGTATAAAAAAAGAAACGAGAGTGTCAATCGTTTATAAATGTCTTCATTTACATATTTTGTTTTCCAGTCTTCATTTTTGTTTTTTGATCAAATCTTGAATATTGCTAAATCATGTTCCGTTATGACCGTACTAGTAACAGCACATAATCGGAACTACTTAGAACAAATTAACATTTTTTTTTCTCTAACCAAGTTAAATTCGATTAGGATTTACATATACTCGTTTTCTTCTAATTTTAGCACGAACAGACTATCTGTCCTTTGAGAATAACTCGCCTTCGCCCATTCTCTCTCTCTCTCTCTCTTTTGCTATTATTGTTTATAGCTTTTACTTGACGGAATGGTGCACATGTATGTGGCAATCATATTCAGTTATAAGATGCGACATTCCTGTTTCTTTACATTATTCATTCATTTTTTTATTGATGATCCTTATTTCATCTACTATTGTTTTTTTTTCTTCTTCTTCTAAGTATAAGAGAAACAATCTATGATTTTTTATATTTTCATAAAATCAATAGATGAACAAAAACATATATTTCCTTTTTTGTTATTATAGATGATCAACTATGCATGTATTTATTTCTTATTAGTAAAATATACCACTTTGAAAGTCGACTGGTAAGTAAATAAAAAATATTCCATCGATGTGTTGATGAAATCAAAGAGAATGGCAATGATCGTTTTTTTCTTCTTTTCTCTATTCTTTAGTCAATAAAATGTAAATCATGACACGTTCGTCGAACGGCATATTCGATATTGAATATAGTAACAATTGAGTTAATAGTTTTTATTTATAAATAGATAATAACTATCATGTTTTTCGAGACGTCATATAACTAATTAGATATATATATATATATGCGTATATGTCTGATAATTATTAAATAAAAAACAAATCATTGACGATACTTGTATAGTTTTGTTTTTAAGAGAAACATTTTTAGATTACAATTTTCTCTGGTAGTCTGTATATAATCTTGATTAAGCTTTAGTTAATTGACAGAAAGATAAATAGCATGTGCTGTGAATAAACGGAAAAACTGTTATTGTTTACTTTAGTGAGAGATTCGATTAAAGAATAATTATTCTCATGTGAAATAGGGCGAAATTTAGAAATTAGATAAAGCAATAATATTGCCGGTCGTACAAATCTATGAGTAACTACATTTTCTGTTTTTAGAATATAATCTGGAATATGCGTATTATTTTGTATTTCTCTATTATAAGTATAAATTAAGATGTTTCTTTAAGGATTTTGCTCGATAAGCGTTAATTATCCGTTAAATAGCGCCATCTGTAAAAATATTTTCATACTATCGCTATATAAAGTATCGCTTTTATTTATTAAAAGGTTAAATCTACATTAATGTCACACTTTTTATTTTTTCTTCACTAAACCGTACAATATCTATTGGTTCCTCTGAATCGATTGATCAATTGTTAATGTTGATCAGTGAAGCGTTTTACTTGCTTATTGTGTTTATTTTTCTTTTATTTTGCGTTGAAGTTTTTTTTATATTTTGTTTATCGACTTCGTTTTTCTATATTCTATGATTCATTTGAAAAAAAGAAAAAGTTCATTTTTCTAATTTCAAAGGTTTTTTTTTTTGTTTTACTTTTCTTTGTCTTTATACTAACGGAAATGAAATTTAAACTAAAGGATGTTCGCTAATATAGATTTTATCGTTTAAAACAAAAAGATAGATTTTTTCGGATGTTAACTGGGAATCAAACGATGTATACATGCGACACTCAATGTCCTTGTACATCGTAGTTAAAGGTTTCTTTTTCTTTTTTGTATTATTAATAATGTCCTTGTCTTATCGAGCGATGAGAAAAGAAAGAAAATAAAGATAGATTCTTTGAGAATCAACAATCGTTGATACCCATTTACATGCATTAATCGAATGGTAGTAGAAGTATCATGTACGAAAAAAGAAACTGCCTCTTCGCATCATGTCATTGTCAATCGAAAGAACAATCGATTTACAAGACATTAATAATAACAAAGAAGAAATACTATTTTACTTGTTTGTTACATTTCTTTT